CACAGGCCCGCTGTCACAAAACGGCCGAAAATGAAAAAACGGCACTTTGTATTTCATCTCTCCTAAAGGCAAAAGAAAACAAAAAGTTCTTACACTATAGATAAAAATGAAGCTAAAGAGCTGCTTAATCCAATGAAAAAAGGAAAATGTCGATATCAATCTCCGTCTTTGAGTAAGAAGCCTATGTTTGAACGCCCATTTTTCAAAATGTCTAAGTTTCAGGCCTCCCAGCACAAAAAGTGTTCAGTTGAATTTCTTTCTTTTTCTCTCATTTATAGTACTCGTCGAGCTCTACAAAATGGCATCAAAGATATTTTTGGTCCGCTGCGTTTTCACTCTCTTGTCTCGATCACAAAAGTCAAAAATATCGATTACTACTTTCAGTATTTTAGCAGGACTTTTACTCTGATTTTGGCTTCCAATTGAGCTAGAAGAAGTTCTAATGCTATATTTAACTTATCCTCAGTTTATTCTTCTATTCGGAATACAGGTATAGTTTTGGTTGGGGTATTTACAATGAAGTATTGGTTTTTATTGCTTATATATATAACTATTACTTTGTTCTTAACTTTTTTCTTTTCTTTTGTGAAATTTGATGAATTTTGTTTTATGGTGGTTGTTTTATTTATGGTAATTCCGGCTTCTTTTCGTTTTATTTATAGGTTTCTGATTGTTGTTGGTTTGTTTAATTTGAAATTCGTCTTTTTTATAATATTTTGCTTTTAGTTTATTATTTTATTTTTATTTTTATTTTTATTTATGATCTGAGTACTTTTAATAAGTCATTATTTTTTGTGTTTTTGTCTATTTTAATAAGTAGTATTTATGTTTCGTCCGCTTTATTCTACTAATCATAAGAATATTGGTACTTTGTGTTTTAGTATTGGTATTTGGGCTGTATTTTGGAACGGATAGTAGTGTGTATATTCGACCGCATACATTTCCGAGTAGCTGAGTTGCTGAATGTCTACCCCCATACCAAGACACATACATACATAATTATATATAAGAACCCTAATTTCTCAGTTCTTAAGTTCCTAACTACAAATAAATACACTAGTGTATATACTTCAGTGCATGAGTTCCTGGGTCCCTATCTTCATGCACTGCATATAAACATATATACAAGAACATGAATTTCTGGGTTTCTAGCTTGAACTAAATATACTAGTGTGCGTCTTCGACTACAGAAAATTCTGGGTTTCCGCTCTCGTAGAAATACTCATACATATATAAGAACAGGAATTTCTGATGAGTAACTTCATATTTATGCACATTTAGATGAATCCGCATTTAGTTGTCGCGTGGGACTCTCAACGTTAGTATAATTGTCTATGGCACCTATAAGCTGCTATAATAACCTCTACAACCGATGTAGGGTATAGAACTGATTTTCAGGAAAGTAGAAATTATCAGTTTTGCAAGGAAATAGCCAGAAAGTGGATTGTTTTGTCTAACCAAGGTCTTGATTAGATTTCTAAGATTGCTAAGGAGAAGAAGCATTGGTCTGTGCACTCGTAGATAGAAACACAAAAAGAAACTGTAAGGCAACGCTCGAAGAGAAACAGAATATGTCTCCTATCGTTTCAGTAAGGGTACCCCCTCTTTTTTGTAAAAATTCTGGATTTTGAGCTGAGCCTAGCCTAATGTAGAGGAAAGTGTGGGCTACAAAATAAGACCACTCCCAGTACTCCACGAACTTTCTTAATAAAGTTATGGATTTTTGAAGTTTTTTCTTCAAAACCTAAAAAAACTCAATTCTTTTGGTTGCATAAACTTTTGTCTCATTTTCTGTATATGCAAAATTTTTCTTACACATAGTCTGATACAAGAAAGTGTTTTCTTCACAATGAGATGTTTTACAGAATTTTCCAATGAGTTTTCGCGGAGATATAAGCATCGCGGCAAATGCTCGGAAAAAAGTGACTCATGTACAAAATGGGTTATTTCTCAAAAACTGTTTTTTTGCTACCAGGCTTCATTGTGCCAGATTACGTCCCCCCCCTTAAATTTCATCCGACCGAGTTCAGAATTTTGCCAGAGGTACTCAAGACACTATTGCAGGGGAAATGTTTTGGAATTTTATTTTAAACTTTTCTTTACCGACTTATAGGGTTTCTAAAATTGAAAAACTTGGTTTTTGAGACGCTTTTCACTATTTTTCCTATAACTTGACCAGGAAAGGTCTCGAAAAAATTTCCCAAAAATTATCTCTACGGAATAACCTTAAGGAGCTCTGGTAAAATTTTGAACTCAATCGGATGAAATTTAATCGGGTCGTAATGTGGCACAATGAAAAACTGAGTTTGCTGAATAACTGGTGAACAGTAGTAGTTGAAAACTTGAACAAAAACGAAAAAGTGCTTCATTGAGCATTCAAGCATGTTCACAAATGTCAGACGATTTCAAAGTGACGGATCTGGCTCAGTTTATTGATACAACATATTATGAATTAACATCTATTAAGAAACAAACTGGAGATGATTTGACACGATCTGAAAGAAGTTGTCGTCTGGATCTTCGTAGATGGGGAGCAAAATTCAAAGCAAATTCACAACGTCCATATTTTGAAGACATGAAAGAGACGATGTGGTAAAATGATAAAATTAATATCGGATTCTCGCATACATTTTGTCGAACCAGAAAGCATTAAAATTATTCCGACGTTTTTAGCGTTCAATCGAAGCATATTCTCAAGGTCAAACATATGCTGACATTTTAAAACTGTTTTTCAGTCAACTCTGCAAAACAACAGTTCATTCGCATCATAGATTATCAAATAAAAACCTTTAAGGTTCAGATCATATCAAATCATCTCCAGTTTGTTTCTTAATAGATGTTAATTCATAATATGTTGTATCAATAAACTGAGCCAGATCCATCGCTTTGAAATCGTCTGACTTTTGTGAATATGCTTGGTAGAGATGGGCCGTAATACGTAAACCTCGAAAGAAAGGAACGAACGATTATTCGTTATTCACTATAGCAAACTATGTTTCATTTATAACGAGTAAAGAATATTCGAATAATGAATATATGACTACG